TTTATAAATATTAGTTAATATCTCTTACCCTGCATAACACGGGACTCATACTAGTTTAGTCCATGAGCAATGCATAATTAGTTGATATTGTTGTTGCACATTTAATTCATTAAAAATACAAATTCAGTATATAACAAACCAGTGTGCATCCCATGCGATGCATGGATTAGCTTGTTACTTGAAACCTTTTTTAAAACTTTATTTTAAATATAATTATTTATATTTAATATCTCATTATTGCAAGAGAAAAAATACAAAATATGAAAAAAATTACATAATAATTTAGAAAAAAATTAGGTGATTTTACAATTTTTTTAATAATAATACAGAACATATTAGATATTTTACACATGTATATAATAGTTTGCATATTTTTACACATGGTATATAATATTTTAGATGCTTTTAATATTTTTCATAGACATGTTTTATGGTGTTTTTACAAAGTTATTTTTCATATGACATGCCAACAAATTAACATATTATATTACATATTGACCCCATATTTTTAACTGATAATATATCATATACATCAGAGCACCAACTTCTTCTTAGACTTTTATACAAATTGATTAGATAAACGAAAATGAATCAAGTTGCAGTGTCTTGCTCTCCAAGTTTGCCCGGAGAGTTGATCTTGCTGCCCAAGCTACTTGTCTATACGACCTACAATGTCTCATATTGTCAAATTTGTCAAGTGTGCAGGCGACCCAATCTCATTGCGACATGTGGTCCAATCCTCATACAATGTTGTTTTCGAGTTACATGCCTTCTTGTTTTGGAGTAAGACCAGGTCCATTTCATCAAGTAAAATACTCATTAGGTAGAACATCTTATTCCCCAACTCTTGTATTGTTCATGAGGTCGATTCAACCTCACGCTCCTTTCGATCGAGCTTACTCTAAGCTCGTTGACGTCTTATGTCGGAAGGTCTCACTAGCCTCGTCATTGCCTTAAGGCCGATCTCTGATTATAGCTCAATCCGCCCATTTATCCGGTCTAGCTATCTGGTTTCATTGGTCCAATTGACCCGATATAGTATCTCATATCAAAGTTCAAACTGTTTAATTCGGGATCAAGTCATTCGACCCCCGAATTAACGTTCGACAATTTCAAACTCAAGCATGAATGAGATCTCATCGTCAAATCCAGCTTCGCATATCCCATTCCAATTCCAAGAAGATAAGAATCATATGAGACATAAAAGGATTGGACCTACAAAATTATTTGATCCTAATAAAATCAAGTTGTACAAAAATTTTATGTTTTTCATAAAATTCATTATTACAATATGTATTAATAATTTTTTTATATTACCATGAATTAGCAGGATAATATATTTATTAACTTAAAAACTAGCCATAAATGGCTCAGGTTTTTAATGGGCCGACAAAAAAAAAAATAAATAAATAAATGAAAAAAATGATTAAAACATGTGAAAATAAATGATCCAGTCCTACTACTTTTGAGGTTTAATAAATTGACACTATAAAAATTGGTCATTTAATATCTCTATACGTTCATGGTTACATACTAGTTTATAGATATGAAAAAACAAGAGAATATTACTCCACTTAATAATGATTTGGCAAACAATATTAAAATTACGAAGTGCTAAACTTTTTATCACAAACACGAGAGATTTAATTTGTATATTTAGTTCTCATCGGAACCCCACTCTCTCACTCTCTCTCAAACTTTCCACATCTCTACTCTCTTTCTTTCTTCCCTATCTATTTCTTCACGCGGCGACTTAAATCTCACAAGGGCAAGACGGAATCAACGGTCAAGTATGAATCAATTTCCTCCATTTTTTTTTTCTTTTTTGGATTTTTCAATCAATTCGTGGACCACCCACCCCCATTACCCTTTTGACGGCGGGCGGCTGAGAAGGTCGTGACCTGGTAAGAGTCGCGATGGAGGTTTGTATGGGGGGTAACGAAGGCGGATCGAAGATCAGCGGTTCTGATGGCTCTCGGCGACCCAACTCCTCTCTTTATGTGCTATGGTTCATATCTCAATTCAAATACGAAATAGGAACTAAAATCAATCAATTCGTCGATTGGCTTCGAGCAATGTTGTGGTTCACTCGTGCAACGTCGAAGATGCACCAGGGCTCGATGAGGAGATGGAGGGATGACATTGGGAGTGGTGAGGTCAATCAATCTTGTTTCATAATTGTTTATATGTTGTTTATTCTATGTATAACTATCTTCGATTTGGATTTTGCAATCATTCAGAAGTGTGTATTATGTTTAGTCACATTTCAAAATTATTTATATGTTGTTTATCTTGTGTATAACTATACGGTTAATAAAAAAAACTGCAAGATCACGTTTATCTGATATATATATATATATACATTATATATGTACATATAATTGATGGTTGGATGATTTTTTTTTTCTTTTCGAATTCAAGATGTCGATTAATTGTTTGAAATTTTGAAATATTGAATCCCTTAATTCTAGGTGTCAGATTTAGTATTTTATTTATTTTTATGAATTTTTCAACATTTGATTTCCTCAATTTTTTAATTCTAGGTATAAGATTTAATAGTTATTATTATTATTATTATTATTATTATTATTTCAATTTTCCTTTTTTTTTGCTTGCGTTATAGCCGTGAATCAATGCATGTTTAATATGCATAGAGAGATAATTAATAGCTGGTGGGTGAAAGTCATTTCCAATATATTGAAAAAAAAGTTTCTATCAAAATCTTATTTTGATGAAAAGTTGTTAATTCGTATATATATAAATATTTGATTTGATATTGGGCTTTACATATGTAAATTTCCCAAGAAAAAACAAGAGAAAATTACCTGGTGGACGAGACTTTATAATTTTTTCTCTTTAAAGACGATATAATTTTTTGATTTCCTAACTAATCTTTTCCTTTCCACTAGAACGAGAATTTTATTTTCTTAATCCTCTTTGGTTCTTATTTTCTCCAACACAATAGACTTATCTTCTGTATTCCCTTTTCACTTCGCAGAACACACGCACACACCAACACTTCATATATATACAACCTCCCATCTTGTATCTTGTTCTCTCTTCTTCTTAGATCGACCGGTGATGGCGAGCACCAGAGAGAGGTAAAACAACCAAGCTTGGCGGAAATCGATTCCGGCCGCTTACTCGATTTTTGGGGTTCATCGAATACAGATTCACGGTGATAAGGTAATTGCGAGGGGCTTGATCAAAGTGGTGAAAAATGGCGAGAGAGGCGATTTCGATGGATCTGATTTTGGCGTTCACCAACGGCAGTGCGAGGGATAAAAAAGCTATATGTTATAACTAGGGTTGCTCACGTTATTGCTGGCGAAATTTTGGGCGTTAGGGTTGAAAATTTCTCATTGTGCAATTTAACTTGGTTTTGGTGTTTGACTTAGCAATCCTAGCACTCTTATATGCAACAATTCATTGAGGATTTTGTTTGAAATTTTGCTTTGTTTTCCTTTGATTTTTGAAATGACGACTCTGAATACTTCGCATGAATGGAAATTCTCGTTGGATCTCGACACTAATGGGTTCATTGCGGAAAATTGTTGATGGGATGCGGGTTGGGATGGTGTTCGGCGATTTACCGAGATCACGATGCTTGTTGACATACCGCCCTTTCGGATCTCACCGCCGACATTACATTTTTAATATGTTGTGCATATATCTTATGTAAACTCGGTTGAAAGAAGATTCTATTGTAAATATATGTGGAATTAACCACTTATAAT